ACTTTCATATTTCAAACATGTATTCCTTGTGACAAGACCTTTCTTTGGGTACCACCAAATTTGACCTTTTAACCTTGACCTTGGAGTTTGACCTACTTTTACATGAAAATTTCAAAATTTTACTTTGGACATATCTTTTGAACAGTAGACACCAGGACATTTATACTTCACATATGTAATGCTTGTTAAAAGACCTTTCACTCATATACCAACAACCTTGACCCTTTGACCTTGACCTTGTAGATTTTCGTACTTGTGAAAAAACTTTAACCTTGGCCATAACTTTTGAACGGTAAGGGATATGGCTTGCATACTTCACATATGTAATTGTTGTGAGAAGACCTTTCATTGGATATCAAGAACTTTGACCTTGACCTTTGAGATTGACCTACTTAAAAAGGCAATCCTTGACCATAACTTTTAAAGACTAAAGGCTAGTGCATTCATACTTTACATATTTGATCTTTATGACAAGAACTTTCATTTGATAACAATAACTTTGACCCTTTGACCTTGACCTTGGAGTTTAAAATTTTACTTTGGCCATATCTTTTGAACAGTAGACACCAGGACTTTTATACTTCACATATGTAATGTTTGTTAAAAGACCTTTCATTGGATACCAACAACCTTGACCCTTTGACCTTGACCTTGTAGATTTTCGTAATTGTGAAAAAACTTTAAACTTGGCCATAACTTTTGAACGGTAAGGGATAGGGCTTTCATACTTCATATATGTAATCCTTGTGAGAAGACCTTTCATTGGATATGAAGATCCTTGACCCTTTGACCTTGACCTTTGAGATTGACCTACTTAAAACACCTTGACCATAACTTTTAAAGACTAAAGGCTAGTGCTTTTATACTTTACATATTTGATCCTTATGACAAGACCTTTCATTAGATAACAATAACTTTGAACTTTGAGTTTGACCTACTTTTCAAGAAATTGAACGTTGACCATAACTTCTGAACCGTTAGGGCTAGGACTTTCATGCTCTACATAAGTATTTTATGTGGCAAAACCTTTCATTTGATACTAATTACATTGACCTTGACCTTGGAGATGTTTGTACTCATTAAAAAACTTCAACATTAGCTTACTTTCAAATTTCACAATTGTTTTCCAGTGAGAATACCCTACTTTTTGTACGAATTAATTAAATTTGCATTTAAGAAAAGCTTAATCTTTGCTATGTTGCCATACGGGGGCATCAGTGTTTTACAAACACATCTTGTTTCAAACCAGGTGATTACAGTTGTGCCAGAAACACAAATGGATTCTGAAGAAACTGTATGTAATGACTTAGGTTTCCAGTAGCCAATATGCCCTGATTCATGTGAGGGAGATGAGGTACAAATTCTTTGTTTGATTTGGTCATCACATTTTTTTTTAAATTTTAAGTATATGGGGAGTATGTTTGATAGTTCTTGAGTATTTTTTCTTTTAAATTTCATTTAATATTCTATGACAATTTATTTTTAATTAGTTATAATGGAATTAAATAATTGAATATGAATAGTTTTGGGCGGAGTTTTGACTTCACGCCAGAAATTGCACGAAATACAGCTGACTTGAAATCCTTGGTGGAAAAGAGAATAAAAAACATGTTTAAAGTTTGCTAATAAGTAGTATAAGCGGTCTAGCCGGAGGGTTCAGCTGAGTGCACTTTGGGGGCTGGGGGGGATAGGCGGGTCAATGGAGTGCACTTTTTGGGCCCTGGGGGATAGGGGGGTCAATATTTAGAACATTTTTGGCCAAGGGGCGGGGTAGCTGGGTCAACGGAGTGCAGATTTGGGGGGGTCTGTGGGGATAGGCGGTTCAATATCTAGGACATTTTTGGCCCTGGGTAGTTTAAATCTCATTAAAGTACAACAAGAGGCTGAAGAGGCAGAAGCAGAGCTGGACGCTCTCATGGAAGAAATGAGCATCAAGTTAAATCATTTCGAGCATAGTGTACGTACATTGACAAATGAAAAGCGCAAGAGAACCCGAGACTATGTGGTGGAGCAAAGCAGTATACGATCTTAATTATCCAACCATGAACAAGCTTCAAATGAAAGAACCCCAAATCCCTTTAATAAATACAACATGAAACATTTACATTCATGTCAGACAAATACAGGCAACCTTCATATAGAGACTTATCTGTTCAAGAACAAGATCCTGTAATGAAAGAAAATGCAAACCCTTAAACTAATGAACGCTATAAAAAACGCAATACTGACAGATATGCACAAGATTATGAGCCACCAATTGCGCCAAAATTACATAGCACATACGCAGGAAGAGACTACGAATCACCAATTGAAAATCATGGAAATGGAGGAAACGCCCCACCAAATGATCACAGAGTTATGCAACGTGAACGAGATGTAACAAAAACTCTCCGTGGGTCGGCACAGAACTTACAAAGTTTCTAGTTAAAAAAGGACTTTTGTTATCGAGACTATCTGCCTTCAATGACAGACCAGAAATTTACCTCATATGGAAAGGCAGTTTTTCCATCATTATGAAAGAATTAAGTGTCACCCCTATGGAAGAGTTGGATCTTCTTGTAAAGTTCCTTGGAGCAGATTCCAAGCAACATGCTATGCGTCGACTTCGCGCATCACATCCGACTGACCCATTGAAAGGACTCACCACAATCTGGGAGAGACTTGATGAGTGCTATGGCTCCCCAGAACTGGTAGAAGCAATACTAAAGCAAAGTTTCAAAAAATAAATACAAAGGATGCCAAAAAAATATATGAACTATCTGACATAGCCTCTGAAGTGGAGTCGGTCAAGGAAAATCTTAAGTACAAAACCCTACTGGCATATTACGACTCCTCCTTTGGCGTAAATTCGTTTTTATCCAAACTACCAGGATTTCTACAGTCAAATTGAACGGACAGGGCACTGAAGCATAAAGAAGAACACGATGTTCTCCACCTTTTGCCGTTTTCACAAAGTTCTTGAAGGAGATGAGCATTAGAATGAATGATCCAAGCTTTGCATTTGACAAGGGAACTTCACCTTCATTTGAAAACAGAGACAAGTTAGCACCAGTGAGGGGCAATATTACCACCATTAAGACAAAGCTAACACCAAAGAAGCCTAGCAAGTGTCCGTTACATGAAACGGATAAACACCTGCTTAGTGACTGCAGAACATTTAACAGTAAACCAATCGCTGAAAAGAAATCCCTCATTAGACAGTATGGCCTGTGTTTCAAATGCTGCAATGACAAGCATTCAGCTCGTGACTGTCAAGAACATGTATCATGTAATGTATGCAACTCCAATAGACACTGTACTGCTATGCATGAAGAGAGAAGTACTTCACAGTTTCACAGCGGGGAAGAGCTACGCAGAACGACTAATGATGCAACTAATCCAAGTGTGAGAGCAAGCTGCACCCAGGTTTGTGGACGTGAAGAAATCAAAGAAAAGTCCTGTGCAAAGACAGTCCTAGTGAATATATATCCGGAACACCATCCAGAACGGAGTCTGAAAGCCTGTGTTCTCATTGACGGCCAAAGTAACAGGTCACTGGCGAGGTCCGAGTTTTTTGACTACTTCAACGTTAATGCTCACGAGAGCGAGTATGTATTATCATATTCAGGCTACATATCCACAACTGGACGACAGACCTCAAGGTACATAATCGAGACTTTAGATGGCAGCACAAGACTATCATTGCCAACCCTTATAGAGTGCAACCAGATTCCCAACATGCGAGAGGAAATCACTACACCAGAAGTAGCAAGGTATCATGAACACCTCAAGGATATAGCTGATGAAATTCCGCCATATGATCAAGACGCACACATTTTACTGCTTATTGGTAGAGACATGATAGCAGCTCATAATGTGTTGGACCAGAGAATTGGACACAATTATGCACCGTATGCTCAGAAACTGAGGTTTGGTTGGGTGGTCATTGGCGAGACATGTTTAGGAGCTGCCCACAGACCTGAAACAATCACAACCAACAAAGTTCACGTCTTGAGAAATGGACGTCCGTCTATACTACAGCCATGCCCAAATGATTTTAAGCTGAGGACTCGCACCAGACCAAAGTCAGATTTTGAATTTGGAGAGACCGTTTTCATACAGACAAGCAGTGATGACAAAATTGGTTTCTCGATTGAAGATAAGGAGTTCCTCAGTGTCATAAACAGTGGCTTTAGGAAAAGTGAAAGTGGAAACTGGAGTGCACCCTTGCCGTTCAAGTCCAAGCGACAAGTATTGCCAGACAACTGTGAGAAAGCACTGCAACGGACCAGGAAGTTACGAACGAACTTGAGAATGAACCCAGACAAAGGAAAACAGTTGTGCATTCATGGAGAAGATTTTCCAAAATGGACACGCCGAGCCAGCTCCACCATTGAAAACTAATGAATAAAAGTGGTACTTACCCATATTTGGGGTATTTCACTCTAAGAAAAGCAAGATAAGAGTCGTGTTTGACTCGTCAGCAAAGTGTCAAGGTGTGTCGCTGAATGCTGTTTTGATGTTCTGATGACTGGCCCTGATTTGACTAACAGTTCGATTGGTGTGCTCTTGAAGTTCAGGGAGGAAAAGGTCGCGGTAACAGCAGACATCGAGCAAATGTTTTTCAACTTCTATGTGCATGAGGAAGATAGGAACTTTTTGCGTTTTTGTGGTTTCGAGACAATGACTTTAACAATGAACTCGTGGAATTTAGAATGTGCGTCCATGTATTTGGCAATTCACCATCCCCCGCAGTTGCCACGTTTGGATTGAGAAAATCCGCCTGTGATCATCATTCCTCAGAATTGTGCAATCAAGTGTGTGACCTTGTATACAAACATTTTTATGTTGACGATGCCTTAGTATCCTTACCAGATGCAGAGTCAGCTATAGAAATCATGAAAAAGACTCGGGATGTGTTGAAATAGAACGGAAATATAAGACTGCATAAAATCAGGTCAAACAGCAGTGAAGTGTTGAAGAGTTCCCCAACCGAGGACTTACCAGAAGATGTACTTAGCATGGACTTCAGTGACCCTGTAAGACGTCTAGGCCTATTATGGGACATCAAACAAGATGCATTTACTTACCAATTGTTTAATGATGTGAAACCGTGTACAAGGAGAGGCATACTATGTACAGTAAATAGCATATATGACCCCTTAGGGTTTATCGCACCTGTTATACTAGGTGGCAGACTGGTGTTAAAAAAGGCCATGAACAGCACAGTGGACTGGGACGAGCCTCTACCTGATAACCTGCACACAGAATGGGAAAAGTGGAGAATGTCATTATCACATCTACAGTCACTTAAGATTCCCAGAATGTACGCCAAGATTCAGCATGCATGCCAAAGGGAGCTACACACTTTCTGTGATGCATCCAAAGAGGCCATAGGAGTAGCAACGTATGTCAAGTTGTACGACAAAGCAGGTAACAACATTGTCTTCGTTTGTAAGACTCACTATATACATTGTATTTTAGAAGACCTTGATTTAATTCTACAAGTGGTAATCCTACTTTTACATATACTTCTCTTTCTAAGAAAGAAATTCTTCAAAATCACCTGTCAGTTATGAATACATTTAATATTCCACAGAGCCAAAATGAATTTGAACTACCTTATATATATTGGATTCCGAAACTTCATAAAAATCCTTACAAACAAAGATACATTGCAGGTTCCAGTAAATGTTCAACCAAGCCTCTTTCGTTACTTCTCACTAAAATATTGACAGTACTGAAGGAAAAACTTCAAGAGTACTGTACAACTATATATTCAAGAAGTGGTGTAAATCAGATGTGGATACTTAAAAATTCTAAAGAACTTTTGGACAATTTGAAATCACAAAACTTTACAAAAATCAACAGCATAAAAACTTACGACTTTTCAACTTTATACCAAAAAATTCCCCACGACAAATTAAAATCCAGGGTTTTTTTTATTTTC